AACAAATATTTATTGAGGGAGTTAGAAAACAGTCAGATCATTTATTTTTGTATTCACAGAGCCTAACATAGGCCGGGGCTATATTAGGTGCTCAATAAATATTTCTGGAGAGGCTTCAAGCATGTACTGAAGTAAATGCTGGAAAGTCACATTTCTATATTATTTTTCTTATTAATCATCACCATTATTATAAATCATGTTATCTGCCATCAGAAAGTTTGTTTCTATTTGTAAAAAATGGAAAGATACAAAATGACTGGAGAATAATTCATGATAAAAGTGAACTACAACAAATAAGACAATTATTTAGAAAAAATAATCATTCATCCAACTAAAATTTTACCATGGACTTCTTTCAACCACCAATCACCACAATCAATTCTTAGCTGAATATTTCTGAAAACATCCATTAAGATTATTTGCAGCTTCTCAATAATATGGCTGCTTATATCAAGGTCTATATTTTTTCTGTACTGTAATCAAGAAGCTAGAGAACTTTCTCAGAGTTACATAGAAATTAAAATGTCTCTCACTTTACTCTTGACTGTTAAATAATTGAAGATCTATACTCATCCTAAGCCACAGTAGTTTCAATGTATAATTAATTAAATCTATTACATTCTTTCAGAAAATATTTATTGACTACTCATATTCTAGGTACTATACTAATTAATTGCTCTTCGTATCTTGTCTTCCCCTCACCCTTTCATAAATCCTTAACAATTTCAATAGTAATATTATATGACTTTGAGGTTAACAGTGGTAGCATTAATATTAATATGACAAAAAAACCATCCATCAAAACTAGGCCACCTGATTCAAAACCATTTTATTCCAAGTTGTTATATTTTTAAGAGTACAGTTAATCAAAATTTAAATATGATAATATTATCAAGTAAAATCCAACATTTTTATTCTGAAAAATTGGATGACAAACCATGTCAAATATTCAAGTCTTCATTAAAATTATATGCCAATCAGATTTTTTAAATTTTCTAATTGAAATGGCATTATATATTTCAGCAAGGATGGAGCATCGCTTAATGAATGCAATCAACTTCCTAACTTATTGGCTTACTTTACCAAATAAGGATGAAAGTAAGATTTTTAAATGTGATTAGTACATAGTATATACTTTGCTGACTTTGAAGGCTTCCACAAATTTTCCTTGCAGTTTAATGGATAATGAAGAGCTCTAACTTTTACAGATAAAACATATCATCCATAATATAATTCCAATTAGGTTAATTTTTTTTTTTTTTTGAGACGGAGTTTCACTCATGTTACCCAGGCTGGAGTGCAATGGCGCGATCTCGGCTCACCACAACCTCCGCCTCCTGGGTTCAGGCAATTCTCCTGCCTCAGCCTCCTGAGTAGCTGGGATTACAGGCACGCGCCACCATGCCCAGCTAATTTTTTGTATTTTTGGTAGAGACGGGGTTTCACCATGTTGACCAGGATGGTCTCGATCTCTTGACCTCGTGATCCACCCGCCTCGGCCTCCCAAAGTGCTGGGATTACAGGCTTGAGCCACCGTGCCCGGCCAATTAGGTTAATTTTTAAGTCAGTTATATTCACAAACCTAACTCATACCGTGTTAATCTAGAATTTATAAATCTTATTTTTCTTTTAAATTCCAACTATGAAAGAAGTAGAATAATTTATTTAGGAAAACCAAAATGGACTCAAAGATACCTAAATAATTTGATTAAAAAGCTTTGAATATTCTCAAATCGAAATGTTAAGCACAGCTCTGCTTCTATCACCCACAGGTAGTATCCTCCATCCTTTGCACTTTCTTTGTTCCTTTCCTCCCTCCCTTTCTTCCTGACTTTCTTTCTGCCCTTCCTTCCTTCTTGCCTTCCTGTCTTCTTTTCCTTTTTTCCTTTAATTTCAAATTCCTCTTTCTTTTATTATTCCATACATTTTGGGAAAGGGCTGGAGGTAAACTTAGGTAGTAAAAAGAAAACCACTGGCCTTGTATTAATTTTGATTATGTGTTTAAAACATGGAAAGAAGCGGCTTGTCTCCACATAAAAGACTTATTGAGGCTGGGTGCGGTGGCTCATGCCTGTAATCCCAGCACTTTGGGAGGCCAGGGCAGACGGATTGCCTGAGCTCATGAGTTCAAGACCAGCCTGGGCAACACGGTGAAAAACTGTCTTTACTAAAATAAAATAAAGTTAAATAAATAAATAAATAAATAAATAAATAAATAAAATTTAGACGGGCGCGGTGGCGTGTGCCTGTAGTTCCACCTACTCTGGAGGCTGAGGCAGGAGAATTGCAAGAACCCTGGAGTTAGAGGTTGCAGTGAACCGAGATGGAACCACTGCACTCCAGCCTGGGTGACAGAGTGAGACTCCATCTCAAAACATAAAAAAAAAAAAAAAAAAAAAAAAAAAAAAAAAAAAAAAAAAAAAAAAAAAAAAAAAAAAAAAAAAGAAAAGAAAGACTTATTGAATGGTCGAACACAGTGGCTCACGCCTGTAATTCCAGCACTCTGGGAGGCCGAGGTGGGTGGATCACAGGTCAGGAGATCAAGACCATCCTGGCCAAAATGGCAAAACCCTGTCTCTACTAAAATACAAAAAATTAGCTGGGCATGGTGGTGCACCCCTGTAGTCCTAGCTACTCAGGAGGCTGAGGCAGGAGAATCGCTTGAAACCAGGAGGCGTAGGCTGCAGTGAGCCGAGACTGCACCACTGCACTCCAGCCTGGCGACAAAGCAAGACCCCCGTCTCAAACAAAACAAAGCGAAACTTGTTGACTCTTTAATGTCTTCTAGGCAATGGGAGAAAGAAAATTTTATTTGACCAGATTTTGAATTAAGACTGAGTCCCAGTAGTTGATAAGGAGTGGGTACAGCTGACAAATAACAGTATTAGAGAAGCCCAGGGAACTGATATCCATTTCCCAGTTAAGGCCATGGTTTAGGAGCAAGGGAGATTTTGAAGATACCAAGTCCAAGCAAAAGGGTATGTAGAGACATGCACTGAATCCAAGAGAATGACCAGGCAAGACCAAGATTGGAGATTTAGAAAGAAGAAGGCCTTCACAGGACAGGTATCAGAAACCCATGGCTGGCAAAGGAGATATGGAGAGTACTATGCTAGAATGGACTCTGGGAAAGTCAATTCTTTGCTTATGACAGGACCCTAAGACTGCATTTGAGCAGAATTGGAAAGAAACACCTACTCGTGTAGTCCAAAACTCTTTGACCATAAAATAAACAACAGTGGTTTGAGTAATTCAATAACATAGCCCCTTGTGCTTTGAGAGTGATCATCATAGAAAACTTTTCCTAGAGTAAAAGTGTAATTGGTTATAGATCAATAAGTAATTTCTGTTAGAAGAAAAAGGCTCTTGTTTTCATTTTTATTTATTTATTTTTTGAAGTAGCAAAGCTCTTAAATCAGACCTGAGCAAATATATTTGAAAGTTGAGATTACTCTAAACAGCAAGATTCTTTACTGTAGGGGTAAAGCTTATCTTAAGTGATCATTTTATTTATGATGCCATAAATATCCAGATGCTCTCAACTTTGATTGTTAGAAATTTGCTAAAAGTCAGTTGAAATTACTTTTCCAGGATTCATTTTTGACAACTACCTTTTAAATGGAAATTTTTTTTATGGTTCAATAATGGCTGTGCTGAGGGGTTCTGTTGCATTTTTCAAGCTCTGCAATGAATTCAGCCCTTGTGGTCAGTGTAAACTACTACACAGCTTATTAGAAATTCCTGAAGTCTAAGGCAAAATTAAGAAAAAAAAATAGTTTAATAAAAACAGAGAATTAAAACCTTGTAGAAGTTTGAGTTAATGTACTTTGGTGTTTGATGGTTTTCTTAATTATTTTAGAACTAGTACCCAACGGACACTTTCTAACAGGAAGGAATATGATGACCTAATCAAATACCCTTTGAAACATGAGTACTGACAAAGGGAGAACTTATAGGAATAGATTAAACAGAACAAGCTTCCATGGTTGTGTAATGCAGGAGAAATAAACAAAACATTTAGGACAAAAAAGAGAGTGGGGAGACTTAAATGCTTCTTCTGAAATCTTCCAAAAGATAGTCTTTAGGCCAAGAATTATGATAATAAGAACTCTTTAGAAAAGTTTTTGAATATGGGACACACTATGATTGTTTTTTGGACATATCAGTAAAATATTAAAATCTCTTAACAATAAAAAACACTTTACAAATAATGCAAGGAAATGAGAGTATACAGAGCTGCAACAATATTCATTAATAATTTTTAAAATTCAGAGATAGAAGAGAGTGTCCCTGAACCCTAAAGTTCATTATGGCAACTTTCAAAGGTAAAGGAAGCTTTTCATTCATGAACTACTCTTTGCCATTTATTATATGCTGAGTAAATTACTGTGAGAGCCTTACAACTTAGAGAAAAGAGAATGGGTCCAGGACGTAACTGGTACTTCGGATGCAAAATGTATTTTCTTGACATTTATGTTTCAAAATGAGTACAAAGTGGCACAGAAACAATCTTTTTGCCATCTTCTTTCACATTTCCAAATATCTTTAAAGTATCCTTTCCTTCCTTTATCTCATGTAGCTTTAGATAAGCATTTTCTCCAGTGAGCAAAGAAAGACAGAATCCAGATCTTTGGATGTCACCAGTATTACAACCTCCTGCTTCCAGCCAGATGGTATGATATCTACTGCGCAATAACTTATTTTATTCATTTGGCAAGTCTGCCTAAAGACACTACATTTACTCCAAACATTTTAAAAAAACTATTTTGAACACAGAATTAAGACGAATTCACACTTCATTAAAAAAGAAGTTTGTATTGTAAAGAAATGCTTAACAACAGCATTAGGTATATGGTCTTATTTCCTCTAGACTGTATTCATATTTCCCAGAACAAAGTACTAGTTTCTGGGATAAGGAAATATCCAAGAGGCAAAATTATATTCTTTACAAAAAGTTGCAGGAAAAAGTAAAAGCTGAAACTTATTCAAAAAGTACTTACTATATGCAGTTCTAGGTAGTCACCCAAGCCTGAAGAACTGTCCACTCGCACCAATACGGCTTCTTTCTGAACAGTGCTAAACCCTATGGCCAGTCTGTCTGCTCGTGTACTGGGTCGGTCATTAGGAGGCCACTTATACGTGATTTGTCCACCACCTTTGCTAAAGATATATGTCGTCCCAGCTGGAAAACAGAAACCAAAACCAGTTAGTTCAAATACATCAAGTTTGCACATTAGCATGGCATGTTATATTGACATATCAATAAAGTATCCACTCTACACCCACAACTATGGCAAAGCAAATTATAGATTTCAATCAAGTGTGCTCAAGAAAGTGGACTGAGTTTTTTAAAAGAAATGGAGAAGTAGTTCTATGAGTTTTTAATATACTGATTAAATTTATCAGCAGATATTTCAGAACAAAGAGTAGGTTACTGTGTTTTCCATGGAGTTGGACAAGAATGAATGCAATGAGACTTTATTTCTTCCTGCCAGTTTTTAAGAAATAGTTTAGTAGAAAACACTGACTGGATGCTTCCAAAAATCAACAGCAACATATGTTGGTATTGAAACAGGAGCTGCATATAGATGTGACAGGGTCATACAGCACAGTGGAGAAAGTCACAACAAATATGCTAGAAAACTAACTTTTATGGAAAAAGGATCTACTCATATGTGACAGATAACTAATGGATGAAAAGCCACAAGCCCCAGTAGCCATGACAAGAAAATACAGATAATAGATCTCATCCACAGAAGTCAGGTTTTACTCAACAAGCAACATCTAGTAGCTGTCAAACTATTCAGAATCATAAGAAGAACCACATCCTCTGCCACACCAAGGTGAATACAAGCCTTATGCACTGAGAATGACATCACAGACTCATTCTGTGAGTGTTCAACTTTTACCTTACAGTGGTCTTGTCAGAAAATTATTCAGCTTAATTGAAAATAGTTTCCTTCAAACAAATTTATTGAGCATTTGATATTGTTTGGTTCTGTGTCCCCACCCAAATGTCATCCTAAATTGTAATCCCCATATTCCCCATGTGTTGAGGGTGGGACCTGGAGGCAGGTGATGGAATCATGGGGGCGGTTTTCGCCATGCTGTTCTCATGATGGTGCAGTCTCATAAGATCTGATGGTTTTATAAGTGTTTGACATTTTCTCCTACACACATTTCTGTCTCTCCGGCTGCCTTGTGAAGAAGTTGCCTGCTTCCCTGTTCACCATGATTGTAAGTTTCCTGAGGCCTCTTCAGCTACGCAAAGCTGTGAGTCAATTAAACTTCTTTTTTTTTTATAAATTACCCAGTCTCAGGGAAGTTCTTTATAGCAGTGTGAAAATGTACTAATAGGGCATTTGATGCGCTAAAGTCTTACCTCACTGCATCATTCAATGGTTGTGCATTTTGGTTCCATTCTTTTGAGGGTGTGAGTAGAGCCAAAAGGTGAAAAAAGATTGGATTTTCCTTCTTTCCCTGCCTGACTGCTTAAAATGGGACACTGTTCTTTTCCTGCCTTCGCAGCTTCTTGTTCTCATGCCTTCAAACCTGGACTAAAATCTGTATCATTGTTTCTCCATTTCTCAGTCCTATAATCTAGAACCCCCAGCTTTTCTGGTTCTCCAACTTGCAGAAAGCAGATCATATATGTACATGATCATATATAATAAGAGAGAATATTAAAACTTAGGTCAAAAAACTTCTTGTAATTATAGAAAAATAGCTTGTGCAAGATACCCATACATTGAATTGCTATGATTATCAAATTTGCCATTTAAATGGAGTTGACTTACTATCACATTTGTGTACATTTAATTAAACAACTGACAGTATTGACTTTGTGGCCGTTTTTGGAGGCAACTCTTCTTTGTTTTTAGTTACAGACATTTCCAAAGGCCTTTGAGAAACTCCAAAGACCTCTGCAATATACATAATGTACCTGATCCTTAAATAGGCCTTGGTAGACAGACCTCTTCCAAGAAACATGTTAGGAGAAAATCGAATGCAAAAGTGATAAACAAGAATACTGGTAAAATGCAAAGGTATACAGGCTGTGCCCTTCTCTGTTAATTTTTGAAGATACCAATGCATGAAAATAGTTTATCTCTTTCAAGCGAGAAAAGGTAAGTCATGTTTCAAAGGTACCAGTCAGTACACAAGCAAAGCAAATTCAGAATATACAGAGTGTATATCAGAAATGCCAGAGGTTTCCTGGCATTTATGTTCTACATCATCAGAAGTTTGTTCATCATTATCTGTATAGGAAAGTACTGTTTGAGAAATATTTTTCTGCCTGGTAATTTTTGCAAATGATTAACTTTTCTAATGAAGCCTATGTTGATAAAAACAGGACAAGAACACATACAAGTGGGGATGGCTTTAAAAGGAGGATGTAGTGGTTACCTCTGAGTGCTGATACTTAATAATGAATTAGTTTCCTTTTTTTTAATTAACTTTGTTCTCTAATGACTATCTATATTATGTGAAATAAGAAAAATATCAAAACTAGAGATGCTATTTAACCATATAAAAATAACACATATCTAAGAATTCAGATAGTTTCAGAATTATAAGTGTGAGGTAAGCATTATAAAACAACATTACACAGTAATTTTTAACATTAAAAATCATTTTCACAATTAAAAAAATGCTTATCTACTAATGTGTAGAACATAGGGCAGACATTACTTCCATGCTATCTCTGAGGGAATTTAGTCATAAGGATTAACTTACTATCTAAAGTTGCAAACTTGGTTAATTGGCAGAGTTGGTATAAAACCCATATCCTGACTCCTATTCAAGTATATATATATATTTATGACAGAAATACCTCTGTTATCATAACCAGACAGTCAAGAAAAGGTTAATTGGATATGTCAATCTGAATTTATGAAGGCCAACTGTTATCATATTCTAATGTCCTATATCCATAAAGTGACATTTGCACCTCATTATCATGTACTCTCTTTTCACCTCACAATACTTTTAGAAAGAAAAAAAATATCATGCAAATGTGAAATGACAGAACATTTAATATATGCAAGTTAACATTTAGTCGGAGTACACTTCCCAATCCTGTGGAACCATGAAAGTTTCCAGTTGCTCAGTTACAGAACTTGTGGGTAATAATTTGAAGGTTTTATTTTCAGTAAGATAAGTGTCACAATACAAATACCATTACTCAAGATTTGATTTCATCTCAGATTTTAGCCTTTTTCAATGAATGGAAAACTTGATGACTAGCATGAGATTAGCTAATCTGTCCTGTTTAGAATGACTTTACAGTTTTTTAGGTCTCACCAAAACAGGGCAAAACAATCACAACTACGGTGTGTCAAACATTGCCATGATTTCTAGTTTCCTTTTTTCCACCAGATATATTCAGAGAGCAGTCTTTCTTAGTTTTTCTTCTGTATGCATGTTAGTGCATTATATTGTACTAATCAGCACAATTTTATAATAAGCAAGACAATTAGATGTTCAGTCCTTCCTTAGCTCTCTTCTACATACTTCTATAAGCCTTCTGGATTAAAAACAAAAAAACAAAAAAACTTTGCATTAAACTTTACAAAATCTCTTATATTCTTAAAGCCCTCTTTCCATTGAACTAGAACATTATTCTCATAATCAAAAACAGTGGGATAGATGGCTTAAAGTTTCAAAATCTACCTCCTTTAACATATATCTTTCTAAACCAAGGACATGATATATTTACTGCAGCAGAATAGCTCAGAGATTAAGAATGTAAACCCTAGACTCAGCGAGATCTGGGTTCAAATTCCAACTGTGTCATTTACTAGCTATGTGACCTTGGTAGCCATTTATTCTGATTTGGGATTCCTATTTGAAGAAAGAGGGGGACAGCAATATTATTTTACAGAGCCCTATCAGAATTAAATGAGATATTACAAAGTAACACTTGGTCCATTTCCTGGCATGCGCTAAATGCCCAATAAATTTTAGAGAGAATAGGTGTCATGTGTGAGGGCAGTTGTGTGTGTGTGTTATAAAAACATAAAATAATAAACACTATAACATTGTTGTTTTATTTTAATATGAAAGCCTTTAGAAAAGTTGGACATATTTCGAAGTGTGTACAAATCAAATGCCTTTCAAAAATGACATTCCTATCGTGTAATTTTTATTAATCATTTCAATGTTTCACAGCATGGTTTAGGACTTTTTATGCAAACTCATTATATTATTATTTATGTTCAATAATAGTTGACAATGGAAGGAATATTAAATTGTATCACATGGGAGCTTTCATGAGAAAAAGAATATTAGTTCAACACCATAAAATATCTAGCATAGTAAGATTTATAGCATAATGCAAAAAAAAAAAAAAAATCCCTTGACCATTATTAAATAAAGACTAAACTTACACAAAATAACCTGCAGGCTTGCTTTTTTAAAATTTTATTTTTACAGAAACATGTTTTATTTTACTACATAAGTGAGTTAAACATGCAGTGGCAGTACATCTTAATCGCAGTTCCAATATAGATGGGAACATGGAGGAATGTGTCACCTTTATTATTTATGCCTGTTTCTATATGACAAGCACTACCACATCAGTACCATGACTACTAATGGATTTACTGCAAATTAACCTTGACATCCATCAGATCACTGAATGTATGAATGACTGAAATTTAAAGTGGTTTTCAGCAATCTCCACATTTAAGCTGTGCAGCAAGCCTCTATTACTCACTCTAAATTCATTAACAAAGCTGGCTCTATCAGACACAAATTTAGCAATGTCATCATACTTTACACTGCAACAAATGTTTGTAAAAAATAGACATTGGCTTCCATATCTCTTGTTTCAACTGTTGTGATGCTATAATAAGAGAATATTTTTTGATCTTATTAAACATGCTATTTACAGATAGGGCTCTCTCTCCTCCTGCTCTTTCTTGCCAACTGTCCCTTCCCTACATGTGCCCACTTCAGCCTCATGTTGAAGCTGCAAAGGCTAACATATTCCCTTACATAGACTGAACCCTTCTGAAAAAGAAAACCAATTAGCACATACAGGTCTGCTCAATTATTGGTTGCTCTGGATCTTTGCTACATGAACAATAATATAATTAACTTTGGAGTAGATTAGCTTCTAACGCATAACATAAGTATATGAATAAAAGGTTACTTTTCGAAAGCCTATAATTCTTCAAA